GGTTGCATTAAGCAGGACTTGCAACTCCCAATAATTAATTTGCCAAGTTTTGATGGTTCACTGCAAAATTGGTTGGAGTTCAGAGATGTCTATGAATCTCTGATTCACAAAAATGAGTCAATTACAGACATTCAGAGATTTCATTACCTTAGAGCCTCTTTGAAGCTGGAACCAACAGAAATTGTTAGGAATCTTACATTTTGTGCGGATAATTATGTCGTAGCTTGGGAAATGCTCTGTGACAGATACAATAATGACAGAAATTTGATACACAATCATGTCAAGAACCTTTTCAATATGAATGTTCTAACTGTTGAGTCAGCCAATGGTATCAGGAGTTTATTGGACTGTTTGACAAAAAACATAAGAGCATTATCCAGGCTTCAACTTCCTACTGATTCATGGGATGTTCTCATTATTTACCAAATGAGCACAAAGCTTGATAGCCGCACATCTCGTGAATGGGAAACTTTTAGACTAAAACAAAAAAGTATTCCTACGTTACAGGATTTTAAAAACTTTTTGATTTCACGAGCAGAAATTCTTGAGACTCTTGAGCAGAAGCGCAATCACAGTGTAGGGAATAAACAATATATGAATAAAAAACAAGAATCACGTGGTTTAGTTGTGATGGAAAACAAAGAAAAGTCATCACAATGTTATATGTGTAAAGGGTCACATTATATTCAGAGTTGTCCTGAGTTTTTGAAAACCGCTATTGAGAAGCGAGCTGAAACTATAATCGGTTTGAAAATGTGCTTGAATTGTCTGCGTGGGGGGCATTTTAGCAGACAGTGTCGCCGTCCTCCATGTAAGAAATGTAACAAAAAACATAATGTTCTTTTGCATATTGAGAAAGTTAGCAATGCTACAGGTGAGTCTGACACCTTAAATGTGGATGAACAAGAAAACAACGTTAATATGTCAGTTGCTCATGCAGCCCAAAGTAAGCATAGTGACGTTCTATTGTCTACAGTTTGTGTAAAAGTGATTGATAAAGCTAATAATGTTCACTATGTTAGAGCAATTTTAGATAGTGGCTCACAGTCCAGTTTTATAACAGAAGAGCTTTGTAGGGTCTTGCAATTGCCATATGAAAAAATAAATTTTGCAATTAATGGAATTAATAATATCCAAACTGATATAAAGCGGAGATGTACTTTAAAGTTATACTCTAATTTAGATAGTTTCTCCACATATTTGAAGTGTTATGTGTTGCCTACCATAACGGGCGTTTTGCCCAAGTATAAATTGGATGTTGACCATTTAAACATACCAGATCACCTTGAGTTGGCTGATCCCAAATTTGCGGAACCACAAAGGGTTGATTTGCTTATTGGCTCAGATATGTTTTGGAGTTTAATTATAGATGGCCAAATAAAGCTTGGTAAAAATAAGCCAGTCCTACAAAACTCTAAATTTGGGTGGCTAGTTTCAGGACCTGTAGGTCATTTGCATGAAAATAATCACAAACAGGCTACCTATTGTAATTTTGTAACGGCTTTGGAGCCTATAAATAATGAAGTAAATATTCAAAAGGATTTAAGCGGGTTTTGGGAAATTGAAGAGCTAGCACCAGCAAAGAAAATATTTTCGGAAGAAGAATTGGCTTGCGAAAAGCATTTTATTGATAACACTAAGCGAAGTTGCAAAGGTGAGTTTATAGTGAAGATTCCTTTTAAAATTGATCTCGCTAATTTAGGAAATCCATTTAATCAGGCCAAGGCTCGGTTTCTAAATTTGGAGAAAAGATTAAATAAAAATTCTAAGCTCAAGCAACTATATGATGATTTTATGAGGGAATACATAGACCTGGGGCATATGTCTAAAGTTGTAAAGGAACCTCAAGCAGATGAAGTGGCATATTACATGAGTCATCATGGTGTTTATAGGGAAGATTCTCTGTCTACTAAACTCAGAGTTGTTTTTGATGGATCTATGCCTAGCTCTACAGGTTATTCTCTCAATAATTTGCAAATGGTTGGGCCAACAATCCAAGCAGATTTATTCACAATATTGACAAGATTTCGGAAACATAATATAGTCATTGCAGCAGATGTTGCTAAAATGTATAGGTGTGTTTTATTAGTTGAAAGTGATAGGAAATTGCATAGAATTTTATGGCGCTTTAATGAAGATGAGCCATTAGAGGTGTATGAATTGAACACAGTTACATATGGGACTGCTTCAGCATCTTTCCTGGCCATTCGCTGTTTATTTCAATTAGCAATTGAAAATGAAAAGACTCATCCTGATATCGCTCAAATCATCCGCAATGACATGTATGTGGATGATTTATTGACAGGGACGGATACGGTTGAGAATGCTTCTAGAATATCGGCCACCATTTTTGAAATATTGAAGCAAGGAAGTTTCAATTTGCGAAAATTTTATTCCAATGTGTCTGAAGTGCTCGATTGGCTACCCAATAATGATGGACTTGCAAAAATTGTTGATTTTAATGATTATGGAACAGCAAAAACCTTGGGTCTGATCTGGTGTCCCAGTTCAGATAAATTAATGTATGACGTGAAATGCCTACCTGAAAGCAATCCTGTAACAAAAAGAGTTATTTTGTCTGGCTCTTCAAAAATATTTGATCCACTTGGTTTGATCAGTCCGTGTATTATTTTAGTCAAAATACTTTTAGAACTGTTATGGTTAGAAAAGTTAGAGTGGGATGACCCTGTACCTGGTCATATTGAAGCCAAGTGGAATGAATTCAAGTGTGGAGTTTTAGAATTGAATGGATTTGAAATAAATCGACATGTTTTTTGCACTGATCTGTCCTACCTTGAGCTACATATATTTTGCGATTCTTCTGAAAAGGCTTATGGAAGCTGTATATATGTAAAATCGGTTGATGAATTTGGAAATTGTTTTGTTAATTTGCTGACCGCAAAGGGAAAAGTAGCTCCCTTGAAAACCATCACCATTCCTCGTTTAGAGCTTTGTGGAGCTCTGACAGCGGCGCGGTTGGCTGCCAAGGTTTGTAAAGCCATGAATTTAGATAATGTAACACGCTACTTTTGGACTGACTCTACAATTGTATTGGGATGGCTTAAATCTCCTCCAAATAAATTAAAAACGTTTGTTAGCAATCGAGTAGCGGAAATTCAAGATTTAATAGGTTCTGCTATATGGAATCATGTGCCAAGCGAGCACAATCCAGCCGGTTTATTGCTTAGACGTATGAGCCCTTCAGAAATTAAAAATTCTGAGCTCTGGTGGTATGGGGCTGATTTTTTAAAGTTTGATTCTATTCATTGGCCAAAAAATCCTTGTCATTTAAATGAAACGCTTCCTGATCTCAAAAGAAACAGTACTGCGCTGACGGTGATAAAGAAAGAAAAATGTGAGCTTTTTGAAAAATGGTCTGATTGGTCTAAGTTAAATCGAGTTACTGCATGGATATTTAGATTTTATAGAAATTGTAGAGAAAAGGTAGATAATAGAAAGGTAGGCATGCTTACTACAGCAGAAGTGAACCTTGCAATAGACAAACTAGTAAAGCTTCCGCAACAAGAATCTTTTGAGAAGGAAATTCAAAAAATTGCAAATGAAAATAATGCAGCCTTAGTTGGTAGACTTGCCTCTTTAAACCCTTTCATCGATAATCAAGGCTTGTTAAGAGTTGGAGGTAGATTGTCAAATGCCAAATATAGCTTTGAAAAGAGACATCCTTTAATTTTATCCAAGAACCACATTCTTAGCGAGTTGATCGCCAGACAGCAACATTCGAAATTACTGCATGCTGGACCACAGCACCTTTTAGCCTCATTACGGGATAAGTTTTGGATCGTTGCAGGCCGTTCCTTAGTCAAAAAGGTTGTTAGAAATTGTATAACATGTTTTCGTTTCAATCCTAAGTTGTCCAATCCCATAATGGGAAATTTGCCTGAAGAAAGGCTGCAACCCACTCATCCATTTGATGTGGTTGGAGTGGACTATGGAGATCCATACCTGATAAAAAATATATATATATATATATATATATAAATATATAATATGTTGACTTTGCGTAGATTTATCTCTAGAAGTCCGAACTGAAAGATTTATATAAGTTTCTTAATGCAAGCTACAATGAGCTGATCAGTGCCTGCAATAAGGAATCTATTGTTTGGAAATTTATACCACCTCAGTCACCGCATTTTGGAGGGCTCTGGGAGGCTGGCATAAAAAGCATGAAACATCACATAAAAAGAGTTGTTGGGAATTTATGTTTTACATTTGAGCATTTTTATACTTTACTTGTCGAAATTGAAGCGATTATGAACTCCCGACCCCTTTCACCCCTCTCTGATAGTCCTCATGATTTATGTCCTTTGACTCCTGCCCACTTTCTACTGCCACATGAAAGCCGTAGTATACCAGATGTCGACCTGCGTCAGACTCCCATGAATCGCCTGAAACTTTATCAGCAGCTCCAGAGAATAAAGCAGCATATTTGGGCAAGATGGAGTAAGGAGTACGTGTCTGAGCTTCAGCAGAGATGCAAGTGGAAAAGTACGCAGAGCCAATTACAAGAGGGATCCTTGGTGCTTGTCAAGGATGACAATCAGCCGCCGATGTGTTGGAGATTGGGCCGTGTAACCAGCCTGTATCCTGGAAGTGATGGAGTGAATCGTGTCGCCTCGGTGAAGACTCAAAGTGGCTTAGTGAAGCGCTCATTCGCTAAATTGTGCCCGTTGCCAATTTCTTAACGGACAAATTTTTTCAGACTTTTGCATATTTTCTTTGAAAGGGGATCCTTTCAAGGCCGGGGGCATGTTAAGGACTTGTATGTTGTTTGTTGAATTTTGTAGAATGTTGGAATTTTATTTGGCAACCGCGCCAAACGTTTTCACAGTGGCAACGCCGCAAATGAACTTGATGCTGACCGCGCGGAAAAACTCGTAGCCATAGAGACATAATATTAAAAAATGTACTGACGTTTCCTAAAAAATAAAGTAAAAAAGTTTATTGAAGGTTTTCAATATTTGGAAAGAAAAATAAGCTAATAAACTTATTAACAGTCTTTATTCATTTTTTCAATCATCGCCCTGGTAACCAGTCTGTTCTGTATTCTCGGATGCCGGGTCTTGCTTGGAAACTCACAGGACAATATCTAACAAATGCATTCTGTGGTCTCCAGTCGACGTTCAAGGCAGCCGCCGGCGCCGCTGGTTGCTCCTTTATAATTTTTCCACAAACACCACATCTGGTCACCTCGATGACGTGTGCCACGAAGAATGAGCAGGTTGTCTTCTTAGAGTCCTTTTTAGAGTATATATGTTTACCAATCCATCCTGTATCTCGCTTGGACATCTTTACGACTTGGGAATTTTCTCGTGGCAATACAGATCCACTTGTTGGTGATCTGATGTCGTCGTCGTCATTTGCATTACTGGATGGTTCTTTATTGATTCTCTACAAAAACAAAAGGAATGTGTACAATTATCACAGAACTTACTCTCTTCTGTTGTGTCGTCGTCGTCGTCGTAGTGTCTCTTAGAAATCGTAGTTGGTAGTATTCGTTTGCTGGTGTTCGTGTTTTGAATGTTTTGGAATCGTTTGTTGGTTGAGTTTAGAACGTTCTACAAAAAAAATATATACTTACATTCAAAGTTTATTGTGGCTAAGAATTAACGTGGTTGTAGATTAATTTTATGGGCAAAAACAGAATCCAAAATTAAAAAAGAAATTAAAAGTAATTATGATATCCCCATGGTTTTGTGTCTGTATAAATATAATTGACAATTCTTTTATCGTCATATGCACTCAATGCAATTTTTTGTTGGGAAATTGTGAATACATCGTGATGTTTCGAAATTATGAACTGCTGTGTTACAGCTACTTGAGTATTTGGAATAAACATTTATGATAATCATCAAACGTTATTTCCTTCAAAGCTGACTTTTTTAATAACATGTGAGTCCTTGTTGTTACCTGACTCAGGCAAGGTTCTCAAAGCATACATTTTTGATCGCAACCCAATAAAGTGTGTCATGATTCGACCTTGATTTTCATCCTTCATTAACCCTATAACTTTTTTGTTTTTCAATGGAATTCCAAAAACGTTGTTTTCTGGATAATCGGACGTATCAAATCTATCAATGTCTTCTTTGATGTGTTTGTAAATGTCATGAATATTTCAAAACTGACATACTAAACTATCTGTATTAGTCTGGAGAGGATAGTGTAGATCAACTTCTAGGATGTACCCGTATTCGTTTTCATCAGCACTCAAAATATTTTCAATAGAGATGTTATCAACTGGAACCAATTGAAAATCCCCATATGGTAACGAATGTGACATTGCAGCTCCATATAAATTATGGATCTCTTAGTACATCAAAAACGAAGTTGGTAAATCAGGATTATATTCACTATTCATGTATTTATTGTTAGCCTCACCGTACCTGTTAGAACATTGCGATATTCCTCCTCTGATACCTTTTTCTATGAATAAAGCCATATCACTGTCAGTCAACAGTTCTAATTCAACATTAGTGACTTTAAACATGGTATCAAAAGCTAGACCTGACGTAGTATAATAGTGTAATGCATCTAAATTGTTTTTTGATATTAAATGCTTGCCAAACATTCAGTGCATGTTGATAGTCATCATTCGAAATAGCTTCGTTTTTGACAGTACTAAAAAAATAATCTTTTTGTGGTAACGTGTGTCTTTTAATTTCTCCCACGAATTTAGATATTCATATGGAAAAACTCCCTTCCTTATTACCAACTCAAACTTATTATCGTAAGGAAAATGTTCCTTGACTATTTTCTTTTGATGATGATCTAGATATGAGGATAACTTGTCCAGACTACTAGGCAGGAACCGGAAAGAATCACGAAATCGAAAACTGATGTTAGTAACGCTCTTTATTCAAAGGAATAAATTGAGATTTTCTACAATATTGGTGTTGAGAGCTCTGATTATAAAATGTGCATCGTATCCAGAAAAGTTGTGGAACAAGACTGGTACAGTACGTGAATTAAAATTGTTTAAGTTACAAGACATATGAGCTGCTCCCCTATATTTACCTGTTAAGTGACAATGATCTTTAACTCTCACTTCGTTTTCATCGAAAGGTTTCTCACAAATACTACAATTGGAAGTCAAACGAAAACGTTTCTCCTCATCACTGTTTAGATCTATAGGTTAGTATGCCTGATAAACTTTATGAAGTTCATTAGCAATATTGAACAATTCATTATCACATTGAGCGCCGAACCAGACACCGGTGTCTGTTCACGATTTTACCGGCCAGGCCACTGCAAACACATGTGTCTGTTTAAAATTCTGTCGAAATGTGCCAAGCAGACGCACGTTTTCTTTATATACTGAAGTATTGTGTCTGTTCTGGCCGACCAGAATATACATCTATACGTATATGTGGGCAAACTGAGAAAGACATGTGGGACTTTCTAGACAGTGTGTCTGCGTTTGTGTCTGCTGTGGGCCCCTAGTTGATTACATCTTTTCTATTTTCTATACAGCGCTATAGCAGACACCAGGAGAGGAAAATGTGTTTCTTCACTTACTAATAGCCGAATTATATGAACATATTTAGATAACCTTTTTTATGTATAGAGAGAACAACAACAACAACAACATGTGTTTTAGAGAACAGTGTTTATTTAGGATTAAAATATATTTCGATAGATAGACATAGGTACAGGTATACAACATTTAGGTAATATAATGCGCTACATTGAGACAGTCTAAACAGTAACGAGGCTTATTGTCGCAGTCATCACAATACGTTGTAACTTTACGGATTTTACTTTTAGAAATAAATCCTTCAGATTTTTTCTTGTAACAACCTTTGCAATATTTTCGTCCCTCTTGAGCGCTTCCTGGCATTTTCTTAAAGGAACGAGATTTCATCCTATTGAAGTATGAAATCGATGTTTTTGGATCATTTTCTACTTCTACTATCAGGGACTTTATAATACACTCTCTGAACTTAGTTATTGACATTAAATTTCCCGTTACATTTTGATAGCAAAAATGAGCGCTTACAATTGCCGTACCAAGAATAATTTCGATGGCCACTTTCTTATACCATTTCACGGTTTTTCGTAAAGCAGATGCATAGCTAGAGAACTGATCCGAGATATCGATAGGGGTTTTTCCCAAGTTATAATCAATCACCATTTTTGGTTTCAGCACCTCTTTACCGTGTTTCATAACACTAACCATTTCATCCATATGTTTAGTTGATAATATTAACACACCTCTTTTGTCCCTAAACTTCAAAATTGTTATACCATCATCATTTTCTTCTGCTATCATTTCACCCTTCTTCAGTTTCTTTCCGATTACTGTCTTCGGATTTCCTTTCCTATTCTTTCGTAATGTCCCTAGTAAATGAGTATTTTTCTCCAGCAACTTATTTGCTAAGTCTAAGCTGGTATAGAAGTTATCTGTTACAACTGTTCGTCCTTGATTCAGCAATTTTTCAGTGAGGTGCATTACCACTTTCCTAGGTACAGACGTTCGTCCATCGGCCTCTTTTCCAGAATACACCTTCATGTTCCATGTAGAGCCAGCATTACAGCAGAGTTTGATAACTTTAATTCCGTACTTGTGGGCTTTTTGTGGCATATATTGGCGTAAAAGCACTCTGCCCCTAAATGGTATAAGGCTTTCATCGACGCAAACCGTTTCAGGAGGCATAACAGCATCTTGACTATTTTCAATAAAAGCATCAATGAGAGGTTGAATCTTGTGAAGTCTATTTGTATCACTTCCAGGTTCTTCATTGTTTGAAAAATGTAACATAGTCAGTAGTAGTTCGAATCGATTTCTTGGCATAGTAGATGAGCAAACTTTGTTGTAATAGAAATTGTCAGTGCTCCAGTAATTTCTCATAGATGGCATTTTTATTATACCCATATAACCCAATAGACCAAACAGGTTTTTTATTTCCTCTTTAGTAGTGGGAACCCAGGCGTGTTTGCGTGATTGTTTGGAAGCATCAGACGTTTCTTTTATAAGGCACTGTGTTGCGTAAAGGTTTGTTTCATCCGCAATTTTAGACCACATTTTATCGTCAAAGAAAACAGAATAGAAATCAATTGGTGAGCCATCGGCAAGCAGTGCAACAAGAGCTTCGTTGATATTGCTTTTTTCAGTAAACACAAAAGACTTTTGACGACCATGTACTTGCCCAAATGGTTCATGACTTCCTACAGGCTCATTTTCCGTTGATTTGTCATCATTCCAGTTTTGGCTTTCGGGTACTTCAAGATCACTGTCTGAGTCATTGTTGCTATTTTGACTGATACCTGAATATTTATTTTGACGCAAGGGAGAATACTCCATATATCCTGGACCGTCGCTAGATTCTTCTTCCGATGGTTCGTAGAGTAGATCCTTAGAATTGTCGGAATCATGAAATGGATCTGAAAATAAAATATTTATATAATGAGTAGACAAATAGGTTAGAACATATTTACATATAATGATAACAGTGATTTATACATACAGTAAAACTGCACGAGTGAACAAATTACTTTACTTTATTTATTTTACTGAAAAAGGCCCATTATAAATTGAGATTCGGCAAACCATTTTTACATAAAACGTATTTGTTTTTAATGGTAGTGGATAATTATTATTTTGCTTTAACTTACCCTCGCTACTTTTGCTTTCGAATTCATCGTCCATCTTTTGTTTTTTGATGGCTAATTGAAGTATTTTTGCAGTTCTCTTGCTCATGTTTCCCTATACTATACAACTACTTGAGCAAAACACACAACCAATTGCTTAAGCATATACTGTGTGGTCCATTTTCATTTTTTTTTTAAATGCTATAAAAAAAACTACTAAATATTTTTCCATTTTTTTTTATTTGAAAGTACAATCCTTCCGATTAAGTATGGAATACAACTTCATTTAAATGACTGCCGCGGCTGTCTTTGCAGTAGCCCATACGGTCAGTCCAATTTTTGACCACATTTTCAATCGTATGTGGCTGTATTTCAGCAATGGCAGCGCGTATGTTCTCTTTTATTTCGCCAATTGTTGCTGGTTTGTTGGCATAACACTGGTCTTTAATGGCACCCCATAAATAATAATCTAATGGGGCCAAATTACAGCTTCGAGGCGACCAAACAACATCAGAAGAGCAATCGTAGCGTTTGCTGTGTGACACGGAGCACCGTCTTGTTGAAACCAGATGCTATCGACATCAATATCTTGAATTTGTGGAAAGAAAAATTCATTTATCATGGCACGGTAACGCTCACCATTCACAGTAACTGCTGCTCCGGCTTCATTTTCAAAGAAAAATGGGCCAATGATGCCACCAGCCCAAAATCCGCACCAAACAGTCACTCGTTCTAGATGCATTGGCTTTTCTTCGATTGCGTGTGGGTTCTCTGAACCCCAAATGCGGCAGTTTTGCTTATTAACATAGCCGCCAAGATGAAAATGCGCTTCATCTGAAAAGATGATTTTTCGACCAAAATCAACATCTTCATCAAGTTGATTGCAGGCCCATGAAGCGAAGCGAAAACGCATTGGATGGTCAGTTGGCTTCAATTGCTGAACGAATTGAACTTTGTACGCCTTCATACCAAGGTCTTTATGCAAAATTCGACCTAATGATGTGCGTGAAATGTTCAATTGTTGAGAACGTTGGCGCGTTGATGTGCTTGGAGACTCTGCCACACTCTCAGCTACAGCATCGATATTCTCGGGTGTACGCACCGTTTTCGGTCTTTCACGTGTTGGTTTGTCAATAAGAAGACCAGTTTCACGAACTTTTTGCACAAAATATCTCACATACGGTGCTGACGGTGCTTCATTTCTTCCCATTTTTGCACGTAATTTTCGGACACAATCTGCAACATTACCACCACTTTCGAAATATTGTTTTAATATTTCCCAGCGTTGTTCAAGCGAATACACAACCATTTTCGTTAATCGGAATGATATGACTGATGTTCTGTCAAATCAGATGCGAAATAAGTCTTGACATATCCCAAAAAACCAGTAACTAAAAAAAAAAACGATAGATGGGCCACCCGGTAGGAGAAACAACACGGGCATCGAGGTAAATGAAACTGAGCCAAATAATAACGCGTAACGGATTATGCACGTCGCATCTCAGACATGAACGGACAAGTCTCAGAGTGTCTGCTTGCAATATTGTGTCTGCTAAAAGTGTGCTGTTTTGACCCCACAATGAATGTTGTTGTGTCTGCATTAGGTGTCTGTTTTGGCCTGGTACATTCAAGTCTAACTGGAAGGCCAGGACAGACACCCGTGTCTGTTTATAAAATATTGTGGTGGTCCTACATGATAGATAGTAAAAATGTGCATGGCGCTTAATGTGTTAACAAACCAATTTTGACAATCAGCACCCGTATGCAATCTAAACTTGGAAGGATATATATTTTCGTAATTCGATTTAAGTTAGTAAGCTACACTGAAAGCCTCATGCTTTTGAAACTTTTGTGTTTTATTTGTTCCATTGTCATCATCCTCATAATCCATTAGTATGCTTTCAATATCTGCATAAATGACAAAAGGAACACATAATTTATTCCTCAAGTTTTTAAATTCCATAATATTATTAGTTTCATTAGGCATAACGACCTTAGTGCTGTTAAGCTGCTTACAACCTTCAGAATGTTTTCTCAAATGACGTTCACTTGAAAAATAATTTAGACACCTGTCACAAATCCATTTTTTGTGACCTTTCCAACCTATTTGTCTACTTATTAGGCGTGACAAACCTTTTATATACGCAAAATGATAAATAGTACAATAGTAAATAAACATAAGTAAATTTATTCTAGGCGTGAAATTAGTTTTACTGAGTATTAACGGTGCAACTTCATTCATCCGCTTGCCTACGAGTATGAACACATTTATTGCTAGGTTACTCATAATCTCAAACTTGGGTATATCTTTCAAACGTATAGGAAAGCTGATATTTTCGTATTTCAATACTGTACTAAAATGAGGATATGATGATTGGCGGGCTTAATTTTTTCTACAGGATACAAGGCGCTTACAACTGACCTGACCACAAAAAGCAATAATTATCATTATTTCGAATATTAATTACACTTTTTGACTTTTGTATAAATTTTGGTGAGGGAATATAAGTTGAAACACCAACATTTATGGGACAATATGTATTAATATTCACTTTTAAATGTAAAATTTCTAATAAGGCCGATCCAGAATCACCCTCTTGGAACTCTTCTAGTTTCGTCAAAACTTGATCAGTGACATGAACTTTATACCACTCTTTTAAATTGGTATTTTTATCAATTATATGACTTTTTGTGATAAAATGTTTGATCGACTTTCAGCAGTCTGAGGCTTAATGAACAAACTATAAAAAATAACGTTCGATTTTAGTATACCAATATCAAGCTGTTTTCTTATTTGCATCGCAAAACTTTTGAATGCTCTCTTGAAAAATGATTTTGGGTCTTTTATTTTCAAATTAACTATAACACCTGACTTAATTCTATTGTTAAAGCATGAATCCACATTTCCCCAAGCAAGCTCTCCATTTTGGCTTTTACGATTTATTTTATATTTGAAGTTTTCAAGGTAAGCCTTGAGAAGTGACAAATTAAACTCTATTTTTGAAAAATTCTTAACACAATCAAACTTATGTTTGATACGCTTATTAAGCACTCTAGCACATTTTTTTATATCTTCAATATAAAAATCGTAATCTGCTTTTGTCCTAACTAATCTACTTACCACCTCTATTCTCCTGACGAATTCGTCAGACACAGTATCGATCACCTTTTGGCTGCTACTCATTTTGGATATGTGTAGATATGCAGCGACTGTGGTGAGAACACTGATGACCAATGTGGTCAAGATGCTGTCTTAAAATACAGTGAAAATCTAACAAAAAAATGCTATTTATCACTAATGCGGAATCATACGGTTCTCGATGAGAAAACACGTTGTGCACATTTGCAGCAAAATGTTATTTTTCCTTGATATGGGGAATGATGATGACGATGACGATGACCCCGGACGTTAGATAGTTTATATTATTCATGCAATTAGGTTTTTGAAAACAAGATATACACATATGCAGCAGAATGTTATTTTCCATTGATATGGAGAATGACGACGATGACCTCTGACCTTAGATATCATGCAATTATAGAATCATACGATTTTGTTTGATGGAAAACTATCTTACATTTCTGAAACAAAAAAAACGGTCAGTTGGCAATTGATATGAATGTTTTTTTTCCTCAAAGATCTGTATAAATTGCTAGTGTGTGTAAGTAGTTAGTATCAGAGTTACAAGTGGTGATCAAGACGTATAATGGCGACGACACCAACAACAATCATCGTCTTCACGCAAGATCCTGTGAATTTACCAATTAATGACCTGTTATTGGTCATGAAGAAATTGTTTCAGTAAGTAACTTTATATATTTCTCTTTTGTTCTCTCTCGGTCTCTCGCTATTGCTATTGTATCATTATTGTTGTGTTATCTTTCCGATTCCTTATTCTAGGAGACTTTTTTTTATTGATTATGTATTATTTTTCAACAGTACCTAGCATACATATTTAGATACGTATTAACAGTCAACTCTAGAACTAGTACTCCTAAATACTAAGATTTTTTTTTAAGCATTTGGAATAAGTAAAACACAAATCACTTACCTTGCTAGTGTATGGATACAGTTCTATTAATCTTTTTTCTTTTCTTCATCAGATACGGCGCCAGGGAGATCAAAGCGAGCGGTGACAAAATCTTCCTAAAATTACCTTACTCGCCAAAAGCAGCAACATTAAAACAAAAATTCGGCTTGCTGCTCATCAAATATTTCAGGACCAAATTGGATAAGAACGTGGAATTCCAGGTATTGGAAAGAATCGTCTCAAAATATCGGTTCAATTTATTGGACGAACAGTTGGAGGACATTAATCGACAGTCTATACAAGATCGACCTGGAACGAGTGGTCTTGGTGGTAGTGGTGGTGACGGTAAGAAGAGAAAGTTGTATCTGGAACCACCTGTGCTACAACATGTGGCAGATGAGCAGGAGGAGGAGGAGGACGAGGAAGAGGAGAAGAAGCCTACGACGCAAAAGGCTAGGAAACCACCAGCAGCATCCACTACAACAGTAACAGGCGGCAATGACAACGATGATGATGACACATTGTTATTGTCACAAAAGATATTTTAAAATAAAGTAATTTCTGCACAAGTAATGTTTTATTTACACACTCTCTCTTTTTACATGTTATCAATACAAGATCAACAGCTTTTATCAAAAAACTTTTACAGTACTATTTAATGGATTATATTCTACAAGACGATCATGTAATATCAGACAAAAGGCAGTAGTATTTGGTGGTATATTTACGGTAGTTTCAAATTCCAATCTAATATCAACAGAGCCCAATTTTAATGTCTCATTTTGCCTGCTGCAGTCAATAACAAAAAGTGGGGTTGCATCAATGAAAGTTTTCAAGTTTTGACATGGCTCACTGGAATTTCTATAATAATAGGACTGCTGAAAGCGCACATACATTTCATACAAGATACTAAAATAATTTCTGCTCATATTGAAAGTTACATTGTCATATGGATAAATTTCAGAATTCAAAAATAATTTGATATTGCTCAGGTTACAGTGATCAAAGTGACTCAAGTTCTTAGTCAGCTGTCCTTTCCGATCAGTTTGAAAAGCAACAATAACGAAACGTGGCCTTTCCAATTGATTAGTCGCCTTGACGTTCCATGTATTTGTCTGTTGTAAAATGGAGTACTCATGCATCCCAACTCCTGAACGCTAGTTGTAAGTCCCTTCCTTTCTCTATGTACTTCATGAGGTGTAATTTTTCAGTATCAGCTACTTGGATGTGTGGAATTCTCCATAGTATTCTATACAGATCTAAATGAGGTTTCTGGCCAGGTGTTGTCGTTACAATTGCATTTACATCTGTGGGACCAATTCCTGTCTGATGTTGATTGGTACTTTTTTAATGTATTCAAAAAAACCTGAAATAACTTTCACTGTTTCGTATTTCGGGCAATTCTTGATGATTCCAGCCTGCATGTTGGTAACTATTACCTTCATTGTTTGTGAAAGATACCAGTCCTTTAATGGTGGTTGTTATACCAGGATTGCGAACTCTATCAACAAATATACCTCCAATTTCATATCGCAATTCATCAAATAAAAATGATACAAAATTATTTACGAGGCGTAATGTTGGTGACCAACTCCTAAAGCGTACGTTTTCCTGTTATTCAGTACGATAGGTGGATAGATTATAGCTGATAACACAGACTCTCTACCAGATAAGGTAAATGTATACATTATATGAACCGATCAATAATCATAGATGAAATAAACAAGTGTTATTATGGTAACCAGTATTTATTCACTTTTCAGAAAACGTAAACACAATTTACCACAATTTACAGTATTAAATCTTTGAAATACATTATAATTGTACTGTATTCTACAGGGTCCACTACAATTAAAATATACAATTGCTTCCAGTGGTGGTTCTAACTTTCCATAGGTATCTAGGTAAACCACCAAGTTTCCCTTTTTCTTATATGCAGTCCAGTGAGTGCCTGGTCCAGTAGATGTATTCAAATTAATGATTCCTCTTTCATTGATTCTTATTTTTTTGGGAAGCTTATCTTGCATAAATACTGCTTGAAAATACGGCATTTTTAAACGTTTTGCATACTTTTTTTTGTTAAAGGGTGACTATTTGGAATTGAAATTTTTTTAACTACTTGTTTTTTCTTTTTCAGGGACATTTTCTTTTCTCTCACAACTGGTTTCAGTTAGTGTATGGTTTCAGGAAAAGACCCATTCCCGTTTTATAGGGTTTCAAAAACATTCCCTTTCCAAGTGCTACAGCTTCCATCATTTTATTATGACGTTGAGATTCTTGTAATTGCTGCTTCGCTGATTTTGCATCAGTGACAGCCTTAGCAATACCAGCAGCACCGCCAGACAATGCTCCAAGGGCTGATAAGCCAGCAAAAATTGGGGTTAATCGTAGTACACCTCCTTTTTTCTGTATCTTCACTACACGATTTGGCGGCTTTCTTACACCTTTCTTCAAATTTTGTGCCTCCCTCAATGCTAGAAGTATTGCTTCTCCAAAGGTAGTAGGTTTTTGAGCTACATGTTTCCCTATTCGGAAAAGATAACCTTCCTTTTGCTACTTGATTTATTTTGCTTTTTTTCTGTCTCTGTGATCGTTGTTGTTGGTCAATTGTAGCTCCTTTCTTAGGGTTAACAATCTTTTTACGTGCCATTTTCATTACTGAGTTTAAATGTCTGGATTACTAGGTACTTATAACTTTAACTTTCTTACGTATGTTATTATCATCATCATCATCATGATTATCTGGTTGAATCTTCCGTTTTCGGTTTTGTTGGTTCCATGGACACGAAATTACGTCACTCATATCTGATTTACGTTATTTGTTTTCCTTTACTTCAGCAGATCCTCTTTTACGTTTTGTACTGCATTTTTTCTCGGGAATTATAACCGCATCATCCAAATCTATTTTTCTTTTTTTCACTTGTACAGCATTCAATGAATTAGTAGTAGTAGTAGTGACTAAATCCAGTTTCCTCTTTTTTGGTTTGTTCTTTTGCTCTTCTGTTATATAAGTGTCCATGTATTCAATTGTAGCTTTTGGTTTTTTCTTCTCTTGATTTTTTTTATCTTTCAGGTGTATATTTTTTTTGGCATGACTGTTCAGTTTGTAGAATTTGTACAGAGTCTTGAACAAGTTTTTGATACCCCTGTAATTCTTTCGCTAATTTATGTAATTTCTTTAAACAATTGTTTATATTACGTTTTCTGTACCTTTCGGAGGTTTCTTTTAAGCCTATTCCAAGTTTTACTTTAGCTTTCATGGCACTTGCTACAGCTAATGCGACAGCCTTCTCCTTCCAAGACGAATCACTTGCACGAAACCTATTCATTGCCTGTTTTGCTAGCACCATATCAGCCAAGTGACGATTACTCAGACCTTTTTCTTTTGAGTAAAATATATCGTGTTGTTTACAAGCTTCATCCAATCCGTTCACACCTGGATCATTTTTGGCATTTCATCAAGCTTAGTGCCAGGACCACAGTACCTGTACGTTGGGATATGTAATTCTACAGGTAAATTATTTATAGCTGTATTGAGTAAGCCTTCACCACCGTAGTACTTCATAGCACATGAGTGGTAACTGAACTGGTAAGTTTAATCGTAGATGTTACTAGTTATAACACTCCAGTTGCTTAATGCTGTTGTTGATTGATACGCTGCTAGTGATTAGTGGTGTCCATCTAATAAGTAATGCCTTGATATATTTGCGTTTCATGCTGGAAAAATACTTAGTTCACCATACAAGTAACTCCTCAATACACAAACATACGACAAAGAAAAATGCAATATTGTTCGGTTTGTGGCACGTTTACAATTTGGCTGTTGAATGAAGAATAATGATATTCATCATCCTCCCCTTTCCGTATAGTATAAAACAAACAAAAAATCAGATAAAGGTATCATTCTAAGAAAGAACACTGCGATGAACTGTCTGGATTTAGTTGCTGTTTTAGTGATTCCTTTTTTTACCTTAACAACGTGTTATCAAAATGAACCAGTTATAGTTGCCGATCAGATATTCAACATTGAAGACGGTGTATTCTATCTGTATGAATTACATAATTATGGAATCACGGCATTAAAGTCGTATCCAGCATTCTATTACTCAGGAAGAGAATTCTCCATAGACACAGAAATTAAAACTCACAGCAATCAAACAATTGGATATGTGATTGGACAAGATCTGAAATATTATCCATTCACAATGAAGCGAAAAGGCACAATTATGTACTGTGGCAAATACAGTATAAGGCAGTTGCTCCGACTGGGATACGTTATTTTCAAAAGAAAAACATACTCTACCAACAGTTTCAAAAATACATTCAAGCATTTCGACACTTCAGATATGATTGAATACATTAAGATTCCTACTATTTTTTTTTCAACTCAAAATATCACACTACCGCTGTCACTTCATTTCTTCTCCCTCGCACATATGACATGAAGGATGGTCGTCGTCGCGAGGTTCCTCTCATGCATATGTATCCGTCCACATTTTTACCAGGCTCTAGCTAGGCGGCGAGACTCCTCTCATGCATATGTATCAAGCTTACACTTTCACTCGCCCACTACTTTCTCACTTTCTGCGTGTCACATGGTATTCGCCCTATTTGGCATACGTGACGGCTCGGAGGGTGGGTCACGTGGTCTTTGGGCCTTTCTGCCCTGTTTGGGAGGGGTGGAGTTGGGTGGGTGAGGCAGGTTGGCAGAGTTAGAATCGATGTAGTATAACTACTCACGTAGTTCGATTGTATTAACGGCTTTCTATGTACTGTAAGAGTTTTATCTCCCTCCTCCAAAATCCTCCTTACAGTGAGGAGAAACGCGAAAAAATTGATATTACCTAAAATAAACCTGGAGAAATGCGGTTTTCACGTAAATTGATTAGAAAAAGACTATTTTACTTACGCTAGGTTAAAATCCGTGCTCTCGTTCACAGATACCCCAAATTGACCCCCTTTAAAAGCTAATACTTTAGAAGCTATATAATCATCTATAGCTTTTCAAAACCGCCCAAGACCAACATGTTTTGGACACTTCTCGCATGAATACGACCTGTTCAATCACATCATATCAGCCGTTTCCCCAAACCAACTCCGGAACCCCGTTTTTGACCCCTCTTTATTTATCCATGCCAAGTCTGAAAAATCTATTATTCGTTAAAACAGCCGAAGACCAAAAAGTTTTTTACATTTCTGGCATCAATATAATCTGCCTTATCACTCCCTACCAGCCGTTTTCCGAAAGCACCTCCGGAACCCTCCGTTTTTGACCCCTCTTTATTTATACATGACAAATCTGAAAAAATCTATTATTCGTCAAAACGGCCGAAGACCAAAAAGTTTTTTACATTTCTGGCACCAATATAATATACTCTATCACACCCTACCAGACGTTTTCCCAAAGCAAGTCCGGAACCCCCGCTTTCGACCCCCCTTGTGTATACATAGCAAATTTGAAAAAAACTGTTATTCCTCAAAACGGCCGAAGACCAAAGAGTTTTTTACATTTCTGGCATCAATATGACCTACTCTATCACACCCAACCGACCGTTTTCGGAAGCACGTCCGGA